CATAACCTGTCACCTTGCTCTGGCTCTTGCCTTTCCCTCAGGGTTCTCACTTCGACACAATTGACATTTTGGGCTGGATGCTTCCTTCTTTTGGGGCCTGTCTTGTGCACTGTAGGATGCTTAGCAGCAACTCTGGCCTCTTCTTCTAGATGCCTTCAGACATTGCCAAATGTCCCCAGGTGTGTGTGTGTGTGTGTGTATGTTTGTGCAAATTGCCCTCACTTGAGAACTATGGCTAAGTTAGTGTTGCCTTCTAACTTACCACACTGTTTGCCTGGCATCACATTAATTGTTTCTTGCCTGTCCTCCCAGCAGAGGATGACATGAGAGTGGGGATTGTCTATTTTGTTCACTGATATATCGTAAGTGCCTAAAACAGTGCTTGTCACAGAGCTGGCACTGAATCAGTGTTTGTTTCTAGACGGGAGACTCTCTCTGTGTGGTGGAATGTGAAGTCTGGACTGTGTTAGGACAGCCTGATGCAGGAGAACAGCATGGCAATGGGATCCACAGGCTTGGGTTTAGTTCCTAACCAGGTCACTGGCTGCTGTGTGACCTTGGACAAGTGACTTCACCTCTCTGAGCCTAGTAGGTTCCCTCTTTTGGAGACCAAATACAAGCCTGCATCAGAGAGTGGTTGGTTGTGAGGGCTATCCGCCACTTAGACCAGCGATTTTCAACCTTTTTCATCTCATAGCACATAAACTAATTGCTAAAATTTTTCGGTACTCCAAAAAATATATTGTTTTGCCAATTGACAAAAAAAAAAAGGTATAATTTTGATTCATTCACACTGGACGGTTGTTGTGCTGGCTGTTGTCATTTTTTAATTTGACAGTCTAAGGGAAAAGAGGCCAGTGCCCCTGACTAAAGAATCAGGTATTGCATGTGGTACTCCTGTTGAAAATCTCTGACTTAGACAATGGCTGGCATATAGTAGGTGGTAGATATTCTTTAATTGCAACATATAATGGACAACAATTTACCTGCTTATAAAATTAGTCTTCGTTTCCACCAAAATGTGTGTAAAAACAGGAAGCTTGGAGGATGGAACTAAGACACTGTTGGGGGGAGATATGTCTGACTCTGGAAGGCCATGCAGCTCCCAAAGTCCTTTTGAGGCATGAAGCTGCTCCAGAGCTGTGATGTCCAGTGCAGTAGCCACTAGCCACATGTGGCCACTGGTTGCTTGCAATGCGGTTAGTCTGGGTTGAGATGTACTCTCAGCGTAAAATACACACTGGATTTCAAACACTTAGCGCGAATCAAAGAATGTAAAATATCTCATATGTTGAAACTATATTTTTGATATAGATTAAATAAAATATATTATTAAAATTAATTTCCTCTGCTTCTTGGAACTTTTAAAAACAAATGTGGCTAACTAGGAAATTTAGAGTTACGTTTGTGGCTCCCATTTTCTCTCCACTGGGCAGGGCCACACTAAGGAGCTGGCAAAAAGGGGCAGTCTTGCGTCTCCATTTTACAGATGTTAAAACTGAGGCGCTCACAGAGAATTCAGTCCAAGGGCAGAGCTGGTCTCCCTCCCAGCCCTGGGCTTTCTTTTCCCACGCGCAGGCTGTCCGGTACCAGGGCCAGCTTAACAACAGGCCTGTGGTGTCCCCAGCAGAGAGGGCATTCTCTCAGGGAACCACAGAGGTGGGGTGGAACCCCTTGATGTCGCCCTCCCCGCTGCAGAGACCTCTCCAGACAAAACAAATAAGCCCTTGGGTCTGGCGAAGTGCAACTGCGAGCGGAAACCAAGGAAGATCAAAGACCCATTGGTTACCCCCTTCCGGGCGCGCAGCTGGCAGCTCGCCCCGACCCCAGGCGGGCACCCACAGGCCCCTGGGCAGGGGATCCGAGCGATTGGCCGGCAGCTCGCTGCTTTCGGACACTTGTCGCCGCGAGGAGTGGGCTGGGTCCACAACTGGCAGGGGCGCGGTAGGGGCTGCGCCCAGACTCACATCCACACCCAGGGGGCGAGGCGGGGGCCGTGCGGCCAGGAAGGAGCCAACATTCTCCGCGAAGGCAGGTCTCGGGAAGACTCGCAGGGCCGCGCAGCCCGCGCGCAGCAGCGGCCTCTCCAGACCTCAGTTTCGTCACCTGTGTATTGGGGCCCTGGGTCCCGCCCAGCTCGCGTCGAGGGAAAACGGGGTGCGGGGTGAGGGTGGGGGGAGGCACATTACTTATAGCGACAGGAGCGGCTGTCCTGGGGCGGGCGGGACCTGGGAAGGTGTTTGTCCCAAAAGCCTCAGGCCAGCGGCCCCGACCCCAGG